AAGTGAGTTATTTTTGAGCCTCAGTCTCCTACCTATAAAATAAAAGGTTTGTAAGGGATATTATATTATATATGATACACATAACACAGAATCAGATGGATATACCAAATGAACATTGTAAAATATTTAATTACACAAAATTATTGTAATAATCTGTACTGAATGCAAAGGCAGTTTACAAAACATTATGAACCATACAATCCTAAATTCATAAATATAATTTTGCATAGAAGAAAAGGAAATGGCATTTAATTTTCTCCAACATATTAATCATGTTTTCTCTGGACGGTAAGCCTAAGGATAATTTATTTTCTTTCATTATTTTTAGTTTCCAAATTCACTTCTATTGGCATAAACACCTTTTTGTGAGTAATATTCAGATTAAACACTAACTTTTATAAAGCATCAGGTGAGGTGATTTCTAAAGATTATAATAGCCCTAAGAATTTTATTATTCTACATTCATTTTCAATTAACAATTCCCTTTTCTATAGGGAGATGATAGCATTAATTCAGTGAATGTATGAATGCACTCAGTTCAAAATACCCTTGGTTTGAAGTCCCTGACACCCAATATCAAGCAAAGTATTATAACATGACATAGATTTCAGCCATTTGGCTCTCTGTGGAAGTTCTTCCAAAAAATCACAGAAGCTAAAAAAAGCAACTCCTAAATTCAAATCAAAATTCTTTTTGGATGTTTCTCAACCTGGTCAAATTACTATGAATACTCTTCAGTCTCTACTGAGGCTATTTTTTTCTTCTGAAATATGGCTGAACTCTCAAAGATTGTTCATAATTTTCTTATATTTTTCCATCTGAGTTTAGTCATCTCTCTATCAATCACTGCTTTCAAAATGACTCAGAAAGTATTTGTGTTTTCTCCTGAAAATGTGTTTCAAATGATAAATTGTTGGGCTTAAATTAAGTTTCCTGCATCACAAAGAAGTATATACCAGAAGTGCTAGGCAGAGCAGGAGTTTAGGACAGATTCATGGATTCAGGAGGAGGCACCAAACATAGGACATCTCTTGTTCAAACTAAGCAATGCGGCAAATGATATTTTTAATTGTTTTATTATTCATATGTGCATACAAGGCTTGGGTCATTTCTCCCCCCTGCCCCCACACCCTCCCTTACCACCCACTCCACTCCCTCCCTCTCCCCCCAACCCCTCAATACCCAGCAGAAACTATTTTGCCCTTATCTCTAATTTTGTTGAAGAGAGAGTATAAGCAATAATAGGAAGGAACAAGGGTTTTTGCTACTTGAGATAAGGATAGCTATACAGGGAGTTGACTCACATTAATTTCCTGTGTGTGTGTGTTACCTTCCAGGTTAATTCTTTTTGATCTAACCTTTTCTCTAGTTCCTGGTCCCCTTTTCCTATTGGCCTCAGTTGCTTTTAAGGTATCTGCTTTAGTTTCTCTGCGTTAAGGGCAACAAATGCTAGCTAATTTTTTAGGTGTCTTACCTATCCTCACCCCTCCCTTGTGTGCTCTCGCTTTTATCATGTGCTCAAAGTCCAATCCCATTGTTGTGTTTGCCCTTGATCTAATGTCCACACATGAGGGAGAACATATGATTTTTGGTCTTTTGGGCCAGGCTAACCTCACTCAGAATGATGTTCTCCAATTCCATCCATTTACCAGCAAATGCTAACATTTCGTTCTTCTTCATGGCTGCATAAAATTCCACTGTGTGTAAATACCACATTTTCTTGATCCATTCATCAGTGGTGGGGCATCTTGGCTGTTTCCATAACTTGGCTATTGTGAATAGTGCCAGCAATAAACATGGGTGTGCAGGTGCCTCTGGAGTAACCTGAGTCACAGTCTTTTGGGTATATCCCCAAGAGTGGTATTGCTGGATCAAATGGTAGATCAATGTCTAGCTTTTTAAGTAGCTTCCAAATTTTTTTCCAGAGTGATTGTACTAGTTTACATTCCCACCAACAGTGTAAGAGGGTTCCTTTTTCCCCGCATCCTTGCCAGCACCTGTTGTTAGTGGTGTTGCTAATGATGGCTATTCTAACAGGGGTGAGGTGGAATCTTAGTGTGGTTTTAATTTGCATTTCCTTTATTGCTAGAGATGGTGAGCATTTTTTCATGTGTTTTTTGGCCATTTGAATTTCTTCTTTTGAAAAAGTTCTGTTTAGTTCACTTGCCCATTTCTTTATTGGTTCATTAGTTTGGGGAGAATTTAGTTTTTTAAGTTCCCTATATATTCTGGTTATCAGTCCTTTGTCTGATGTATAGTTGGCAAATATTTTCTCCCACTCTGTGGGTGTTCTCTTCAGTTTAGAGACCATTTCTTTTGTTGAACAGAAGCTTTTTAGTTTTATGAGGTCCCATTTATCTATGCTATCTCTTAGTTGCTGTGCTGCTGGGGTTCCGTTGAGAAAGTTCTTACAATGATTTTTTAAAGCAGCATCACCATGAGCACGATTATGTGCTGAGTGCTTCACAGGGTGGTGAGAGAGAGACGTGGGCCTGGCACCATGCCAGAACATTGCTATGATGATTTGTTTAGTCCCCACAGTTATGGAGATAAATATAGTTGGAGTCATTAACAGATAAATAAACTGAGACATTAAGTGACTTGTCCACAGTCAAACAACTAATCATTAACAGACCTGAGATAGGAAACTTGGTCTGTGTGAGTTCAAAGTTCATGTCTTTGGTCATTTTTTGCAGAGGTTCACAAACTTCAGGATTTCACAAATTAGTATGACATGGAGGAAAAAACGATACTGAAATTTACCTATGCCCTCAAAAGAAGCATAATGGTGAAGAAATAAAGGAATTTCCATCCCTAAAATGCAGGGATGACAATATGTGGGCAACCTTTTCACTTCAGCATTAGTATTGGGCAGCTCCAGAGATTCAGGCACTCTCTCCTACTGAGTCTTCATGTGACCTCAAACATGATATATGATATTTACTTATTTTCCCTAGGCTAGAGATTTATAAACCAGCTAAGCAAGATACATGCCTTAGACCTACAGAACCCATCCCACCTCTTCATCCTGAAGTCTTATCATCCTTGAAGTATCCCCTGAACACCTAGCCTTGGTTACTTTCTCTTCTCAACTATTCCCATGGCAACAGGGAAGTATCCAATCCATGAAGTCTATCATATTATAAAATTATTTGTGTATTTGATTCTTTCTCCTACTGGATTATTTTGAGGGCAGAGATAATGCACTTTCTTCATCTCTGTATCCTAGCATATGCTGGCATGCAGTAAATGCTCAATAATTATGTGCTTCTGGATCTGTAGATAAGAAACTTAATGATGGGATCTATTATTAGCATCTTATCTCCAAGGAAAAGTACATAAAGCTAGAAATTCATAGATCTGTAGCTTGTTCCACCACCACAATTACTTGGTCCTCTTCATCTCCATGTACACCACACTTCCTCAAGAAAATACACATTTCCATCCCCAGATCCCTGACTGATCCTGGTGAGCTGGACTGGACTTGGCCCAGTATAAACTAGGAGAATCTTTTAGCATAAAGCTACATAAGAAGCTGTGGTTGACCACTGGCCTCACACTCCATTTCCCTCATCCTTTCCCTAAGCCCTGTGCTGTACCTGCTGTTCTCCATCAAGAACAGAAAAGAAAAATCCTGGGACCACCTTGATGCAGTCAGGATGATGCTCACTCTATTCCTCCCTTTAGACACCATCTATGATGGCCCCATTCTTTCCTTAAGCCATAGCAGAGTTACTTCTGAGTGAAATGGATATGTGGGTTTGTGGTTGGGAGTCCATTAAACAAGGGAGTGACATGATTTGGTTTTAGTGACAAAAATATTCTGGTGACACGATAGAAAACACATTGTGGAGTGCCATTGGAAGAGTCTTTTGGAGATCATAGTGACTGTTTTCAGGTGATGGAGGTGGATGAGAAGAGAAGTGCATTCAGTGGGAATATATTTTATCAGCAGGGGAGACAGAATTTAGTTATGAGTTGGCAGGAATCTGATGAGGACTAACTTCCAGTTTTGTTTCCACTTTTGGCTCAAGTACCTAAGTGAACAGATGAGGGGCACTGCCTGAGGTGGAGAAGCCAGGGGAAACAGAGTGCCAGCTAATGTAAGACATGTTACAACATGCACAGAGATGATTTGTAGTTGAAAATTTTTATTTTGGGTTTTTCTTTTTAGCCAGTGAAATAATGTCAAGGGGAAAATTTATTTTCACATTTCATCCACATCCAACTTCAATGACCAATGTTGCTTCCTTCACATCTTTTATCTATTAGCCTAAAATATTCTAAGAAGGCATCACACTGATGAAAATTTTGGGAAAGATGTTAGAATCAAACAATGGACTTTTGGTCTTATGAAGTCTCCTCATCATGGAAAGTCATTTCCATGCTGAACTATACCCTTGGAACTGATCTTTCCAGCTTTGTCTTCTTAAGGGCCCAGTACAGCCATATCGACAGAACTCCAAGTTGTGACCCACAAGGACTGTGGATTAAGTGTTGGAGGTACATTCTTGGAGGAATCTCACAAAGGAAACAAAGTCTCCATCAAAACAATATAAGAATTAAAGTGAGAGTAACAACAATCCTCATCTTGTAGAACTGATAAAAACAATCAAAAGAATTGATAAAAGAATTAAAACAGTGTCCAACTCATAGTTTTAATATAAGAATCCAAGCAGGATAACACTTAAAATAAAGACTCACATATCAAGCATACCATACTGGTCTACTAAATAGAGTACCATCTTTAAAAGGGAAGAGGAAGGGGATATTTGTCTTCACATGGATTTTTGTGGTGTCCTGGATCACATGCTTTGTGGTCACCTGGCTTCTGATAGAGCTGACATGAAAACCCATGAGGCAGCACCCATCACATAGTGGACACTCAGAAAACACTTCTTATCCCACTCCCTTCTCAACCTCAAAGCTCTGAGTATCCTTGAATTCCCTCCACGGTTGCTAATAATTGTACTGCCATTTTGCTTTTCTCCTTCCCACAGAGATTTCCTGGGGACCAAGGAGGCGTCACTCTTGCTGATGGTCATGTTCCTCCTTGCTGTATTCTACCATGGACAGCAGGTAATAGAACAATTCGCCAGCCACCCTTCACTACCTAGTGCCATATAACTTCCCTGCAAGGATTCCCTGTTCTTTGTAGCCAATGACTATTAGCTGTTTGCATCAAATTGTGACTCTTACTGAATTCCTAATAATGAAAAACTTAAATAAAGAGTATAACTTGAGAAGCAGCGAGGTCCTAATGTTCCTTTGACCCATCTCTTCAAAAATACCATTATCCTAATAAAAAGAGCTTTCAATCTCTGTCTGAGACAAACTGCCATCCTTTCCCCCAATCCATTGCCTGTATAAAAGTATTGCTAGAGAATGTGTGTGTTGTACTAAGTGTGGCCTTGAGCAACTAACTTCCTTATTTCCCCAAGCCTCAACTTCCTCAACTATAAAATAAAATAATAATATCCAATAGGGCTGTTTTGAGGAATCTCTTGAGATTATTATGCACAGCATGCTCTGTGTGTGTGTGTGTGTGTGTGTGTGTGTGTGCAATGTATAGAAAAAACTTCACTATTAATTTATCTTGGTTAGATAAAGTGCCTACCATATTGCTTCTTCTCCCTTTTTCTCTGAAACCCTGCTATTTACCAAGATCTGAAATGGTCAGAACTGTACAAAACCCTATTCCTAGCAGAGTCTCAGGAACATGTTTTTCCAGGGTCTTCAAGAATGGAAATTATTCTGCATAGGAATATCCTGGCAGGTTTCACCAAAGACTTGTTACCTGCTCTCAAAACCCAGAAGGACCTCTCCAGGCATAGTCCAACCCATAAACAGTGATCTCTTGGAGAGATTTTTTCACTCCCTACTAGCAACCAAGCCTGCTAGCCTCACTGCTGTGCTCCAGCTCCTGCTTCATCTTTCTTTGGTCTGTGTGCACTTCAAAAAGAGTAACCAGAAAAGTAGGAACACAAATCAAGAAGACTGTCAGCCAGAGCAGAAATAGAAACACATCACTGGGGAATCACCATGGAAACAGGGAGGTAACAAACCCTAGGAAACTGGGGATGAAACAGTCAAAATTCCTAAGAATTTTGAGATACATATATAAAGCTATTTGTAACAACAGAGAATGGTAAATGCAGGTAAGAAAACAATAGGTAATTGAAATTTTTGGTGAGTCAGAGAAATGAGGAAAGGATTAACTAGTAAGTTCCTACTGTATACCTAGTGTTTTCCCTTGATTACTTCACTTAATCCTATCAACAACCTGGACTGGGAGTTATCATTCTCACTTTAGTGAAGAAGTGAGGGGTAGAACTAGAATTTAGCTAATGATGGGTAGAACTAGAATTCAAGTCCAGATCTGTCTCCAAAGCCCACCCTTATTGCTTTACCAGTCATTTCCAGATTTCCTGCATTTAGGTCTTTCTGGCTGTCTTTGAGGACAGGTGCCCTGTCTTCTAGGGGTGAATGGCTTCCATTTATAGGGGAAATCTTCTTAGTCTGATATGCAAATTATAATCCATTTGATAACTAGAAGACAGAATTAGAAAAGGCAATCTTACAGAAAAATATACACTCACTCCATCACATAGGTTTTTAAACAGACAAGTCAGAATTACCCAGAAGTAGCTAAGAGAACAAATTTGGGGTAAAGGTCTTCATTCCATAATAGCAAGGATGTTTCTGTCTCCCCCATCACCTTAAGAAATTACCTATGCCCTGTCAGTACTCCCCTCAAGTGGTACTCTTCTAACATTGATTCAGTATATCCTACTCTGTGTTTGTCCAGAGAAAGCAGATAGCCTAATACTGTTGAGAGAATGTATAAGGTAAGAGTATATGTTTCACAAAGGTCTGGTAATTTGTGGTATCTGATATTTTCACTTTTATTCCTCACTTTTATAGGGCTTTGAAATTGCATGACTACATCCCATAATGGTAGCAGTTACAGACATAAGTTTTGGAAATGAGCAGGTGGTCTTCAAACCCCAACTCTGCCTCTTAGTGAACAACAGCAGTTTGTTTAACCTTCTGAATCTGTTTCCTCATCTATGAAATGAATATGCTAATAACAGATTCGAGTCCAGAGGGCTGTTATTTATTATTTACGAATATAATTATAATATGCTTATTCCAGTAGTATATATAATTGCACATATAATAACTACTCACAATTGTTAGCTATTAACATTTTACCTTGAAAATAAGCCTATGACACAAGTGGGGAAGGTGTTGTTATCCATCTGGTCCTGAGACAGGAGCGAAGACTCAAGTTCCCTGAGGTCACAAAGCCAATAAAAGCCAGACTGAACTGAGAATCCAAATGCTGCCACTTCTGGTTCCATTTCTTCTCTGCCACGTGTGATTGGCTCCCTGTGTTAGAGGGAGCTTTCTGCAGGATTACATCATTCAGGTATCTATCTATAGCTTCTGGCTGGGTCCTATTCATCCTGGATACAGCCTGCCCACTCCTGGGCTTGCTCCCTGCTTCTATCAGGTTCCCTTTGTGACTCAGAGGCCCTCTATTTTTAATAAAGGCTGAATAATGCCCATTGATGCCCGGTACACGACAGCGTCCGGTGGAACATGTGTAATTATACATCCCCAGAGTGACGGAGGTGGTTATGTAACTGAATAATTGGGACATTTCATTTTGCACACGTGTGGAAATGATATGCCAAACACTTCCTCCTCCTCTGAGGCAGGTGAACGCCTGAATGTTGCCTCCTACCCCTGCCTGATTAACTCCCATCACTGGAGGTTCGGGCTATGCCTGGGCATCTCCATTCATAGCACAGGAAGTCACATCTGTGCACAGAGATTGGTGAGCTCGTATCTCTAGTGACCTATTTCTGAGTCTGGTGCTGAGGACTATAGGTCTCCAAAGGGAAGATCCAAGCCTTGGAACCCAATATTCTTGCTTGAGCCCAGCAATGTCACTTTAAGAATGGGTGTCCATGAGATACTCAAACTGCCAGAAATGTCAGGTTTTTATCTGTAAAGTGAAAATGATAGTGGTTATCTGATGAGTAAGAAAATAGACAAATGAAATTATGTACACAGAGTCACAGCTTGGATTCAAAATGCCCTAGGTTCAAAGCTAGTCAGTGTCTGTGAGATCTTAGGAAATTGCCTTCACTGCATTGGTGCCCATCCCTTCACCTGTGAAACAGAGATAATAAAGCACCCACCTTGTTGAGTTGTTCTATGAAGCCATGCCTGGGCCAAGGCACGGGCTTCGTCTGCATCAGTTGTCATTACGTGAAGAGCCTGGCACAAAATACAGGAACAATATGTTTCATTCCCTTCGTAGTCTTTCTATATAGCCAGCTCCTCTGTGGTTTGACGAAAATCAGGAGAGTCTATTCTAATCCATCGATTTTTTTTTAAGAAAATGCTGAAGAATCTTTACTTTTAAAATATCATATCCATGTCTTCTATATACTTTGCTTTCTCTCCATGCCTTCTCTAAGCCTGATGTGTTGACATGGCCTCTTTCCTTTTGGTGCCCTCTAGTCACCATCCAGCTAGGAGTAAGTCAAAGACACAGGCTGAGTTCACGCATCTTCCCTCGCCCAGCATCCAACATGCAGGAGGTGCACTAGATCTGTAGTAAACAGAGGCAGAAATCTTTTCTTCTGTGGAGGTTAATAGCATGAGGTGTCTGCCTTCAAGAGACTTGCTTTGCCAGGGGTCTGGGCAGCACTTAGACTGGATCATCCCTTGATGGACCTGCTGTAGATGTAGTTATCAGCAGTCACCACGCCGAAAAGTAAACTGTGTTCTTGCCTCGCAACTGAAAAAAAAAATCCTTGCTTAAGTCAAGTCCAGCCCCCAACACCTCCCAACTCCTATTTCTGAGTTGAATTCAATTCCATGAGAGCACTTCCACAGGAGAGGAATGAACAATTAATTATCTCGTGCTTCAGCAAAGTATGCATTATTAGGGGGAAAAACATTAGGAAATTATTGCAACTTGACACCCCAAAACCTGATCCTCTTGAATCTGGAAGAGAAAAAAATAAATGAAGCACAGTTTTGGTCTGACTCCATCCACAGATGCCTTCAATGATAGGAATACCTTATAAATCTACATTTTCAACATTTCAGAATGCTTTTTGATCCCTCATATTCTTTCTGTGTGTAATAGAACCATATAATAATCAGTGTCTTGAACTAGATATGATGGATCAATTATCTTTAGTTGTTAGAAGGAAAGTCTACATGCTGATTAACTTTCCCAATACCACAAAGCATCTAGGTTTAACAGTCAGGACTAACATTCTTCTACACACCTGCTGCCTCCACTCACTTTTTTATTGTCTGTTACAGAAAGTTTCAAACACAAAAAGTGGATAAAATAGTATCATATACTGGGATCTTCAAGGCCACCCAGTCATGACCAGTGTTGTTTCATCTACTAATTATAGAGCAGTTTTTTTTTTTGGCAGTCATTCACCTATATCCCTACTCACCTTGCCCCTAGTCCTTTCCCAGCAATTATTTTGAAGCAAATTCCAAAAATCTTTTCATTTCATCTGGGAACACTTCAATATGGATCTAAACAATAAGTGCTGTTTAACCTAATCACAATCCTGTTGATACACTTTTGAAAAGAAAGCAGCAATTCATTAATGTTCTCAAACCTCCAGGAAGTATTACTATTTCTTAATTACATGCAATTGTATTTGTGAAGTTTGCTTATTTGAATTGAGATCCAAATAAAGCCTATGTGCTGCCATTGCTTGATATATCTTTGAAGTCTTTTTTTTAATCTGAGAATCACCCTTAATCTTTTTTCTTAAAAAATTTTGTAAGAGTCATATGATTTCTGAAATGGCAATGTAGTTTGTTGACTGCATTCTCTAAGATTATTTAACACATCCTCTGTCCCTTGTTTTTCCTGTATTGATTTTTATGACTAGAAACTTGGTGAGATTCAGTTTCAGTGTTATTCTGTAAAAATTTTTCATTGGCTGTCTTTATGAATTTCAATTAAGAGGAACATAATTTCTGCTTGCCTCTGCTTTTGATGATGTTGGCAGCTATTGGTAATAACACCCCGCATTCATTAATTTTATAGATAGCTATATTCTAACCCTATTAATAGTCTGTAATTGCTAGGCACTGACTCACACCTGTAATCCCAGCTACTCAGATGGCAGAGATCAAGAAGATCATGGCATAAGACTAGCCTAGACAAAAAGTTAACAAGACCCCATCTCAATCAGTAAGCTGGATGAGGTGACATTTGCCTGTGATCTCAGCTATACAGAAGGTGTAGGTAGGATGACTGCTGTGTGAAGTCAGCCCTGGGAAAAATCATGAGACCCTACCAGAAAAACAATTAAAGCTAAAAAATGCTGGGGGTGTGGCTCAAGTGATAACAGTGCCTCTGTAGCAAGTACAAGGTCCTAAGTACAAACCTCAGTACTACCCAAAAACTAGTCCATAATTTACTAATTGGTTTATGTTATAAAAGAGAACCATTTCCTCTCCAACTGTTCATTACCTGGAAGGCTAACTCATAAAGCAAAAACAAATGTGCCATTCTTTCCCTTTAAGTTTGATCCCTAGAAAGTATCCAACAAATCTGTTCCCTAGCATCATTCAGAGGTGATGGGTGAGATTTTAAGTATCACTATGAATTTTTGCTGTTTCACATATTTCCTGTGTTTCCATCCACCGCAATTGTTATCCTTATTAAAGCTCAATGTGTCACATCTTTGACAACTAGAAACCTATTCAAAGAGGCTTTTGGGTCCTTGTGACATGACCCCAGTAGTCCCTGGTGGACTTCTTGCTTAGGGTATATAAAAAAATTTAGGTTTATAAATTTTCTACCCTAAAATTCAACCATTTCTAGAAAAAGTAAGGATTATATTTGTAGGATTTTATATTTGGAAGTCACAATCTACAAACAGGAATTACTCATTGCCAGTAGATATTCATTGTTCCTAGGCATTGATTTCAGTGGAGGAGCTATTTAAATATTTATCATGACCTCAGTTCCTCACTGAGGACTGTATGCTTTCTAACCCCATTTACCTTATATATTTCTCTTCTCCCCCAAAATTCCGGTTTTCAGTACCACACAACTGCCCATTTACTTCATCACCAATTCATAATAATAATCTAATAAGCAGCTGGAGTGGGGGGTTGGTGGCACTGGGGTTTGAATTCAGGGCCTCACACTTGCTAGATAAGTGCTCAACTGCTTGAGCCAGGCCCCCAGTCCTTTATTTTCTGGTTGTTTTGGAGATAGGGTCTCGTTTTTTTGCCCAGGCTGACCTGGACAACCATCCTCCCATTTTATACCTACTGCTGTGGCTGATATGATAAGCACTCACCACTGCACCCAGCTAGTGGTTGAAATGGGGGTCTCAAGAATTTTTTGCCTGGGTGACCTCTAATCATGATCCTTCTGAGCCCAACCTCCCGAGTAGCTAGGATTACAGGTGTGAGTTATAAACAGTTTTACTATTCTTTTTGAGCTCTCTTTATCCTTATGGTTTTTCCCTCTAGGGATATGTACTCAAATACCCTAATAATAAAAAGAATTTTAAAGTAAGGTTAACACTGTTTGCCAAAATAATATTCTACCTATGTAAATGACACAGGGAAAGACATTCATCTGTATAACTAATATGAATTAATAATAAATTAATTTTTAAAAATCCTTGTTTTAAAAGACACTTGTTAAATATGTGGTATTATTTACTTACTTGCTTTTGCAGAGATTTTTCTTAATTTTTTATCAGTGTATATTTACTGTGTGGGAGGATTCATTGTGACAATTCCAAATAGGCTTATATTATACATTTGTTAGATCACCGCCAACATCTCTACCCCTCCGCACCCCTACTTAACACTATTCCAGGAGGTTTCTTTGTTCCATTTCATGTAAGTATATGAAGTCCATCAACCATATACCCCTTCTTAATCTCCTTCATTCACCTTCCTCCTCCCACAAGTACCCCCCCAACACACACTGTACCTATTTTACAGTCCTGACTTTCATTACTAATATTTAAGTCAATGTTCCAAGGGATTTCTCAATGTAACCCCACTGTGAGTCTACTTTACCTTGGTTTGTTCAACCCCTTGCATTACTCTCCCTTACCCTTTACCTCCCACCCACTCCCATTTTTCAACAGTTTTCAATGCATATTCTTGTATTCTCTGTTTTCACAGATGTTATGTTTTATATTATTGATGCTGTATCATTTTCTTTTCCTATCCCTCCTTCCCTGAGTTCCATAGAGTAGTTCCATTTATACAAACATGTTTTACAACTGAGTTTGCATGTGAACATGCTTGTCTTTGTGTATATGTTTATCTTTTGGATCTATCTTCCACGTATGAGAGAATACATGTGGTTTTTGTCTTTATTGCAGAGATTTTTTTAAGCCATTTAGTTTTATAATTAAGTAAAATATTTCCACATGATTTTAAAGTCATGTCTACTCAAAGCAAAATATAATTAAAGGTTGATGGACTTCATATGCCTATATGAAATAGAACAAAGAAGCTTCTTGCAATTTCTTAAAGTGGGATGGGAATGGGGTTGAGAGGGAGAGATGATGGAGACAATGTAACTAATGTACAATGTAAGTTTAATCGGAATTGTCACCATGAATCCCCGCCTATATAATGAATACATCCTAATAAAAATGTATTTTAAAAAAGAACCTCGTATTCTATCCTTAATATTCCATTCTATTCCTTCCTTTCCTCATCTTAGCTAACCACTTTACATGTCCTATACTTTAATTTTAATAGATAAATGAAGACCTATACAGTATATATATATGAGGAGAGAGAGAAAGAGAGACTGTCCTCTCTTACATAAGTGATAGCATACTATACAGACTCCCCCCTCTTAGAAACTACAATATCAAAGTTTAGAGAAATAGCCCTCATTTCTTTTAAAAAGCTGAATCATGCTCTATTGTGTATATGTACTATAGTTTGTTCAGCCAAGAAAATAAACATTTGGATTATTTCCAGCTTTTGCTATTACAAATGCTGCTGAATAAATAACCTTGGGCCTGTGTCTTTTCATATTTTTGCTATCCATTAAGTCTTGAAAATAAGACAAAGGAAAGACACTAGCTGAATATTCTGAGCTCTTGAATTTGGGACATCTAACCATGTGTTTAACCATGATCCATATTATTTGTTTTAACTGTTAAATACATTGAAATAATGATATCCCCAAAGTTGTTATAAAAAATGCTTTGTGGGCTGCTCTAGAAAGGAAACCACCCACCTCCACTGCAAAGGGAAGCTGGCACAGCAGAAACTACAATGTATTGAGTGCCTACCGTGAGCCATTTATCTGTAATTCCCTAAATTGTTTCCATTCCACTCCTATGTGTTCACTGGTGTTCATCCCAATGTCACAGGCAAGGAAAGTGAGATGAAGTCACTTCTAGTGTTACAGTGTGCAAGACCTGTAAGCCATGGCTAACTGACATCACATCCAAGACCTTCCAGTATTAGTCTGTTCACATCTTCCTTAATATCTTATAGTTAAGAGCTCAGATGCTGGTGTCCAGCTTCAGAAGTAAATTCAAATTTTGGCTTCATCACTAATTTTGGCATGATCTTGATGGTAAAGTTATGTAACCATGTATGCTTTCATTTTCTTATCTGTGAAATAAAAGTTGAATGTAGTATCTTCCTATTAGGGTTATGTTTGGGTTGAAAGACTTAATATTTGTATGTTACTTAAAGCAGGGTTTGGTGTATAAGTACCACCTAAGTTTTATCTAGTTTTATAGAATCAACAAACAAACATTGACCGAGCACCTGTCCTGTACCAGCCATGTTACTACCTGATAAGTATGTTACTAAGCCCAGGTTGTCTTACCAAAATACCATAGACCAGGTGACACAAATAACAAAAATTTATTTTCTCACAGCTCTGGAGCATGGAAAGTCTAACATCAAGGTCCATCAGGGTTTGGTACTGGTCAGGGCTCTTTATGGCTTGCAGACAGCCACCTTCTTCCTATGCCTCACATGGCCTTTTTTCAGAGTGTGTACATGGAGAAATGAAGAGCAAGTGCTCTATGTCTCCTCTAGTAAAGGCAGTAATTACACCACAAGGACCCCACTCTCAAGTCTTCACCTAACTCTAATTACCTTGCAAAGTTCCTATCCCCAAATACCACAACATCAGTAGTTAAGACTTCAACATAAGAATTTGTGAGAGGGATCACAATCATTCAGTCCATAATAAGGACGTAATATTGAACAAGTGAGAGAACACCTGCCAACATAGCACCTACAGTTACAGTCTGGTAGAGGACACAAACACTGGCAGATAATCCACAGATGAGAACAGAACCCCTAGGATAACAATGTCTTCAAGAACAGGTGCAGATTCCCAGGAGATCCAATGTCCTCTGATACTTTGGCTTCTGGCAAATGTTCGCAATGTTCCTATCAGGCTCTGTTCCATTTATGAGGAATCCCAGAGCCCTCCCCACCCCTCAGACATGTGTACCTAAAGCTCAACCTGCTGGAGGTACACCAGCTCTGCAAGTTTACCTGTCACTTCTCTTTCTCTCCCCTGAACTGCAGCTGGAATACACAGCTCGCCTGGACTTTCTTTGGCGAGTACAGGCCAAAGAGGAGATCAATGAGATGAAGGAGCTGAGGGAACACAATGAAAACATGCTCCGGAATATCTTACCCAGTCATGTGGCCCGCCATTTCCTGGAGAAAGACCGAGACAATGAGGTGAGCCCAGGCTTGTCTAGCCAGCAAGAAGCGGGTGGTGTGTAATTGTTAACACTGACCTCCAGCTCTGGGAGAACTTCTCTGCTTCATGTGAGGGTGTGAAAATGAAGACCATGCCTAGCACATGCTCAACTATGGAAGTTACACACAGCCCCTCATGACTTCTAGCACCTGATCGATTCAGCCTCACATCTGAGGCTGAATTTGAATTTTAAATTTGTATGTGTGTATGCTGTATTTGAAAATATATATGTAAAATTATTGGCAAAACTATATGTACATGTACATATGTGGGTATATATGTATGTGTACATATAAATATAATAATAAATATAAGTACATCCAATAATTCCAATGTTGGTGTATACCAAGAAGAATTGAAAGAAGGGTTTCAAAGAGCTATTTTCACACCTAGAAGCATTATTTACAATAGCCCAAGTGTGGAAGCAACCCATTAATAGATGCATGGATAAACAAAATGTATTATATACATCAGTGAAATATTATCCAGCCATAGAAAGAAAGGAGAGTCCTGACACATGCTATAGCATGGACAAACTTTATGCTAAGTGAAATAAGCCAGTCAAAAAAAGTACAACTACTTTAGGACTCTACTTACATTGGTACCTAGAGCAGTCAAATTCATAGAAGCAGAGAGTAGAATGGTGGTTGTCAGGGCTGGAGGGAATGTGGAGTTACTGTTTCATGGCTGTTGAACTTTAGATTTATAAGATGAAAAAGTCCTAGGATGGTAGTGATGACTGCACAACAATGTGAATGTACTTAATAGGAGTGACAATTCTCTTAGTGGTCAAGATGGTGGCATGCTAAATAAATGTCACCACCATTTTCAAAATGTGTATGCATATACATATAAACATGTGAGCACATGTCTGATATGTATACATATATATTCTTAGCACATTGTCTAGCATGTAGTATCTGCTCAAAAGTTATTCCTTTTGATTATATTATGTCCATGGGGACACTCAAAGAAGGCTACCCAGAAGTCTAAAGTCAAAGTGCTGGAGACTCATGCTCTCTCCAGAGTATCCACGAGAGACTCCTTCCCTGCCCTTCTAGTTCTTCCTTGGCCTGTGGCTACATCAATTCAATCTATACCTCCACCTTCACATGGCCCTCCTTATAAGAACAAGAGTCTTCTCCTCCCCTCTAAAGACACCAGTCATTAGACTTAGGGTCCACCCTAATCTAGTGTGATCTCATCTTAACTTAATTGCATCTATGAGAGAACCATTTCCAAATAAGAGCACATTCTGATGCTCCAGATGGACATCATTTTGGAAGTATCTGGGACCAGAGGGGAAAGACTAATTTTATCCTGAAAGGAAGGAAACCAACCTTCTGATTGCATAAGACCCCAAGTCATCAGCTGGGGTTCAGGCTGGACCACAGCAAGCAATGTGCAGGGCAGCTTCTGCCTTTATCATACGCATCACACATTTTCAGTGGAGTCCTGTCAGGACTATTTGAGGCTTCATAAATATTTAACTAGTTCACACTCAACTAGGATTAACCAAAAAGCATGTTTATATTGCCTAGATAGTTCTCACATTATGATGAAACATTTACTGAACACCAACTGCATGCCAGCTGCTGAGACAGGCAATTGATGAAAATTGGCTTTCACTCCATTCACAACCTCAAGGGGAGAGTTCTACCAGCCCACATTATTGGTGAAGAAACTGGGGCCCTGAAAGTTTTGCTTCATACTCTTGAAGCCAAGCTATACCTCTAATCCAGTTCTTGAGGTTTCTGAATTCTTTATCACCCTTCTCCCTTACCACGTTCCTGTCCAAGCTGTCATTGAAATCAAGCAAGATTAGTGGACGTGTGTGTGTGTGAGTGTGTGTGTGTGTGTGTGTCATGTAGAGAAAAATAACACACACAGGAGTGACACAGCCTACTAGATCTCCCTATCATAATGAAGGCAAAGATATTTTGGCTTCTTCTTTTGCTATAGATCTGAATTGTGACACAAACTGAATGTGATTGTGTGCATCTGTAAGTTTCACAGGGACAAAAGTGTCACCTTTTCCTTTCCAACCAGTTCACCTCCCACAGGCTCTGTGCCTGGTGTGGCAGTGCACTCAAGGCTGACCATGAGCTGCCTGGAGTCTGGTGCACGTGGACTCCAATGTAATTGAGTGCATCAACATTGGCCTCGTTCCTTAGATGATCTCAGGGACCTACTCAAAGAGGTGCAGACAGCATAGCCTCTGCATGCAATACCAAAAAATGTCTTGCATTATCTTTGTGTGTGTCCTGGCTGCAGCAGCCAGGGACATGCTCTGAGTTAACCCAAACACCATGGCTGCAAGCTCAACCTCTTTCCTCTTCCCCAAATTCTTACCATTATTAAAGTCCTTCAAGGGAGGCCATGTATTCTAGTGCAAAAAAGCTCAAGTTTTGAAGCCAGAGAGACATGTGTTCTCCACTCTCCCATTTACTAACTGTGTGATTTTTGAAGCAACTAGTTAAGGTCTCTGAGCCTGAGTACCCTCATATGTAAAGTGACTTTAATTGTACATATGCTCCTAGGACCTAGTTGTTAACCAGGCAAGGAAGTGGAGGGAAATTATTCCAGATAGATGGATAGAGGTGTAACGCTGAGAAGGAGTTTGAAAACCACAAGCATTTTATGAAGAACAGAGGCCAGAGCAGAGCTGTCATAGATACAAAGTGACAAGTCTTAAAGAATGTTGAAGAGCATGGATTTTATTTTAAGTAAAATAAGGAGGTAAGAATTATTATCCCCATTCATAGGTAAAACAAGTAAGGCTTGGAGAAGGAAAACAATTTTCTCAAGTTCATAAAGCTGGCGAGCACTAAGCTCAAATTCAAACCCAGGGATGTACACCATCAAAGCAAGAGGTCATGTCCCATCCCCCTCACTCAAAGTGAACGCAGATAAGGGGAGCAATGACAAATGGTAACTCAAGTCATCCAAACCCAGAGAAGAAGACCCTACAAACTAGCATCCTGTGCAAGGCCCTTCTAGGTGGGTCACCCACACAAAGCTTCCAGCAGCTCCCTGCTCTTCTGCTAGGCAGGAGTTTTCTTGTCTATAATGCCAGCTCAGGGTCCATGCCTAAATATGTACCAGTGTCTAGCAGACTAGTGTTGAGCCCTAGGAAAGCCTGTAGCTTTTCATGTTCCCTTAAAAGCTACTACAGAAGGACACCGACAAGGGAAGCTGTCCCAGGTGCTGGAGAGTCCACAAGCATAAGTTCCATTCCTGTACTAAGTAGCTGGGTGACCTGGGGCAGCTAACCAACCTTTCTATTCACTTTCTCATCTCATCAGTAGAGGAAACAATACTGACCTTGCTGAGTTAGTGTGAGAGCTATGGTGAGAAAACATGCCTTGTGTGCCCAATGCAGCTCAGTGCCAGGAGCTTCTGTAGAGAAAGGCCATAGGTGTGCTAAAAAGATTAGTGTAGGAGCAGTTCTGTCTCCTCCTCTCACTACCTCTGTGACTATGCCCAAGTGATGAACCTTTCTGAACCCCATGTTTTTCATCCCACACCTCCCAGATTTACCCAGCTTATAACAACTTCCATGCAAGTTACCACACACAAAGCACTGACATGGTGCTTGGAAAACTTTATGTGTGCACTGTTTGTTTGCTACTATTATCTTGGATTAATGTGAGGTATCATTATTTTTTTCTCTCTCCCAAACACAGCCCCACTTCTTGTCTAATCATTCACATATTCATTTGGCATGTGTTCATCAAGTTTCAACCATATGCAGTGTTTTTCTAGACACTGGTGTTAAAACAATGAACAAGGCAAGAAAAGTCCTTACTCTTATACAGCATTTATTGTCATAGAAAGGCAGATAGTAAAGCAAATAAATAAATACTTAACATAGTACCAGTCATGATAAGTTCAATGAGAACAGAAAAGTCTGATTAATGGAATTGAATATTGGCTACTTACATTGGTGTCTTAGACTGTGATTCTATAACAAAACACCTGGGACTGCATCATTTATAAAGAAAAGAAAATATTTCCTTACAGTTCAGAAGACTGAGAAGATCAAGATCAAGGCACCAGCAGATTTAGTGCCTGGTGTGGTCCAGTCTGTGCTCATAAGATGGTGCTTTCAACACTGTGTCCTCACATGGAGCAGAGCAGAAGAAACACTCCCTTAAGTCCTTTCCTAAAGACCCTAATCCCATCCACAAGAGCTCTGCCCTCATGACTTCATCATTTCCTAAAAACCCCACCTCTAAACACTGTCAATTTGGTGATTAAGTTTCAACATATGAATTTTGAGGGATATGCTCCGATCATAGCAAGGTCATGGACAGTCTCTCATAGAAGCTATTTTAGAAGAGATCTGAATGACATGAAAGGGGACCAATAAGATCAGCAGGTCTCAGACATTGTTTTCCCCTGCAGAGAGGTGGCTTAATTTGGTATAAAAAGCACAGAACTTGGGATCCTTATACACAGAACTTGGGATCATAACACACTGGGCAGTCCCTTAATCAAAGAGGAAACCAAAGTCCTCACATGTGGGGTGTAGAGAAGGGGTGCGTGCACATGTTCAAAATTCTTTACAAAGCCCAAACCTGTACTTCCAATCCACCAAGGAAAATGACAACAAAACAAATATAGCTTTTCTATACTCATCAACCCCACCCCAGTTTATAAAGTTTTTTTAATCTTCTTTAAACCTAAAATAGAAGAAACAGATGGTACACACAAAGCAGTTAATTAGACTGAGCTGAATAAAGAAACCATCTCTAAAGTTGTGGATAGATGGACTGGAGCTCGTCCATATGACCCCCCAAGCCCCTCCACCATCTTCTCCCTGATTTGGGGGGATGATGATAGGGCTGAACTGCATGTGCCACATCAATGACCTCCCATGAACTCAGCACCCAGTGGAGGGTTGTCAATTGGAGGTACTGAGTAACAGATCCAAGGGAGGGGAAGGAGTGTGAGGTAAAATAATTCATTATCTTGACATCACACTAGACTGTCTATATCCCTCCACAAAGATCAAAAGCTCCTTTCAAAACCACTGTTATGCTGCCTCCAGGGTCAAATCAACTCACTTCCTTTGGGCTGTCCTTATTCCTGTAAGCCTAGAGGGATGACAGGTCTACTACCACTAGCCCTAGGCTCCTGAGGGATTTCACAGGGTCCCTTACAGTCTGCCCTCATCTTTCTAGTTATGACCTTCATAAGTTAACTCCTTGAATTATCTTGATTTGAATGTGCTTTTATTTTGGGTCCCTAACTGAAGCAATAGGGATAATGATGAGATGATATGCCTCCCACAGTTAGTAATTGTGAGAAACACCTTCTTCCTCTCCAGACACAAAGAGATAAGGGTATGAGCAGTTACTTGGGCCAATGAGAGCCACTGCCAGCCATGGTTTGGTGGAGCAAATGGACAACTGGAGCAGAGCATCTCAGGACAAAAGCAAAGCAAAATCTGCACTCTCCATCTATAGCTGAGGGACTGGAGGCTAGAGAACAGACTGTGCTTGCTCAAAGTCATGTGACCACATCTGTGGGGCTCATCTTCTCCTCTCTTCCCATGTTCCTGCCTTGACCTGCTGAAGGAAAACCTCCCTGTAATACCTTCCTCCTGGAAGGAAATGATTGGAGAGACCACAGCCATTGGGCCACAAGTAACCAGTGGGGGCTACTGAACAAAGGCTCCTGAGTACCCTAATCTGTGAAATCATCAAATTCATATAAAAGCACTTTATAAGCTTTACTGTTCCCTATAAAGGCCAAGGAGACATTAACTCATCAAGTAGTTTTGAGTTACATTATACCAGGTACTGTATGGGGTGTGCATGGCATTGCAGTCATCCAAAGATACTAAGGTCATTCATTGGAAGCACCAAGATGAATGTGATCTGACCTATGCCCTGTCAGATTTCATATTTAGAGGAAGAGATGAACATTAGCACAATGAGGCACGGATAAGGGGTACACTATAGAGCAGCTCAGGTGCTGCCTGCCAGAGCAGAGCTCAACCTCTGACTCCATCCAGCAGTCTGGAAGGCTTATGGAAGACAAGGTCTTTAAGTGGTTTGTGAAGTCAGAAAACAAGAACTAGCTGGATGATGGGGATTAAAAAAAGAGGCTGGAATGACATTTCCAATGAAGGGATATATGGCAGGAAGTGTGAAATAGAAGAGTGTTTGTGCCTTTGTGTTGCTTCTTCTGGAAGAAAACCTTGAAACCAGGATTTGAGAGGGAGTAATTTTCATGAAGGTAATCAAGGGAACCTGAGTAGATAGAAGAATAGGAAGGAAGATAACCGAAAAATGATGCATTACCAGGTTAGCTACATCTGTTAGCAAACTGGAACTTAATCCCAAAAGGGAAATTCAGGGAAGTAGTGTAAATGCACCCTTCAAAGTTAGCTGGCTCTAAGAGTGAAGGAGCTGGGTACTACACAACATTTCCCATCAGTCATCGATAGTCAACCCAGAAGGGGATTAATTTCCTGGTGCTTCCAGGCTGCTGCTCAGATGGGCAGAGTGCCCTCTAGTGGCCACAGAAAAACTTCATGCAAAGAACCTCAAGTGCTGACAAATGGATCCTAGATGAGAGAACTGCAGACGAGGAACTTGCTATCTGCTACAGATGCAAAAATGCCTCCATGTTTCCGGAGCCCAAGGTCCATGTTGGGGAATTACAGGCAATATGGCTGAAGAGGCAGGTGGGGGTGAGAGCATAAATACATGCCATGCTGTGTTAGTGGGCTGTATCCTGAGGGGAAGGGTAGAGGGTATTGGAGGATTTTAAAATGGGAGAGGCCTGGTCAATACCTATCATATCTTTTTTAAAAAATCACTCTGGATGCCACGTGGAGGATGTCTTTGAATGGGTCAAGACCGAAGGCTCTCATATTAGTGAGAGGGAACTAGGAAAAATAGTAGGAGCATTAAAAAATGTTTAGGAGACAAAACCAAACCCAGAAGGACTTGTTAATTTATTGAATATAGACATGATGGAGAAAGAGTCAAAGGAAATTCTGAGATTCTCTAACTTTGTTAATTTGGCAACTCTGGTGTCTCCAGTAGAGTTGGAGAATGCAGGAGCAGACATGGGAATAGTAAAAAGAAGATGCACCAGGTTCATGAGTTATAATTTGAGGAGTAGACAGACCACCCAAGATGAGGCATGGGAGCTCAAAGTCCAAGAAAAACTGAACTGGAAATAGAAATTTAGAAACTGCTACAGATAAGTCATAGGAAGGCTGCGTGAATGAGATGGACCAAGTAAATATATAAAATTTGAAACATTCAGGGGGTGAAGGACAGAGAGAAGCAATCATCACCTTTCAAAATGGAAGGAAAGCAATAAAAGTTATCCTTGAAGGGACCAGCCATAAGAACACAAAGTATTTCACTAAATCATAGAAAAATCAAGAGAATCAATGTCCCAAGTGACAAACAGGCCAAGCTGCAAAGTGGCTGGTAAGATATGAACTGGTATGTGTACTCTGATTTTCCCACTCTGACAAGTTAGCCTACTCTTTATTCATTTTATTCGAGCATGAGATGTGAATGGTAATAGGCACTGGAGACAACTAGTTTGAGATGTTTGGATGCAAGGATGAAGAGGGACTGGTTAGTAGGCACAAGCGTCTGCAGGATCCAGGACATGCTGTTCTTCCTCTTAAAAGAGACACTTAGAGGATACGAAGGAAGAGGAGCAGGAAGAGGAGGGCAAGAGAAAGAAAAGGATAACCAAGGAAGTAAGTCATTGAAGAAGTTATATGGGGGTCAAGAGCACCCCCCATAGATAAAAGCATTGACTTTCAGCAGTAGAAGGAAAACTGCAGGATCTAGAGTTGAAGCAAAGTAAATGAAAATGAATATGTACATAGACATTTAGATTTTGATGGAGCAGGGGTGAGTCACCACTCAGAGCAACAGCTTTCTTAGTGAAATAGGAGATACAGTACCTACTAAGAGGGATAGAGTAGAGGGTTAAGTTAGGGAGAATAATGAGGGTTTGGACCAGCCATTGAGGGAGCAAAAAGGAAATCTGACTGAGGACAAATGAATGGGCAGTCAGAACTGGCCCAGATGATGCTGGAGATAACATATTTTGGATGCCTCAATCCATATTGTGACAAGGCTGTGATTATTGTATGATAGATGGAACATTTGTGTCCCTCCAAAATTCCTGTGTTCAAATCTTAATCCCCAAAGTGGAGATTAAGTATTAAGAAGTGGGAACTCTGGGAAATGATTTGGTCATAAGGGTGGAGGTTTCAGGAATAGATGTGTTAGCTTTTTGTCACTGTGACAAATACCTGAGTAAAACAGTTTAAAGGAGGGAGGACTGATGTTCATGGCTTACACCTGTAATCCTGTCTACTCAGGAGATAGAGATCAGAAGGACTGTGGTTCAAAACTAGCCAGGGAAAATAGGTTGCAAGACCCTATCTCAAAAAAAACCCAACACAAAAACAGAGCTGGAGGAGGGATTTATTTTTGCTCATGGTTTCAGAGTTTTCAGCCCATAGTCAGCTGGCTCCAGGGCTTCTGGACCTGTCATGAGGCAAAGCATTATGATGGAAGGTCAGGTTGGGGCAGAGATGCTCCCCTACTGGCAACCAGGAAACAGAGAGGAAAAGGAAAAGGCCAGTGACAAGGTATATCTTTTCAGGGTACACCGCAAGTGACTTACTTTCTCCAAGCAGTCCCACCTCCTACTTTCCACCACCTCCCAATAATTCCATTATACATAAACCCATAAGTCATCAACCCACTGATGAAGTCAGAGTCCTAATAGCTCAATCACCTCTCAATGACTGGATCCACCAGCTGGGGACCAATGTTTGACACATGAGCAAGCCTTTTGTGAGAGACTTTATATCTGAACCATACCAATGGGACTAGTGCCCGCATAAAAGAGACCCCAGAGGGCTGCCTTGCCCCTTCTACCATGTGGGAACAAAGTTGATAACCATGAACCACAAATTCAGTTCTCAACAGACACTGAATCTACCAGTGCCTTGATGTTGGGCTTCCTAGCTTCCAGAACTATGAGAAACAAATTTCTGTTGTTTAAAACAACCTAGCCTAAGGTATTTTGTTATAGCAACCTGAACACACTAAGATATATAGTGTTTACCTAACGGTGCCCTAGTTCCCATTTTGTCTTCTCCATGCGTACCTGTGCAGGTGTGCCCAGGTACATATGCACACATGGCATCACTGCAGAACCTGGCCGCTGTTGATAATTTCTGGCTCCTTCTGTGTCTCTGCACAGGAGCTGTATTCACAATCCTACGATGCTGTTGGGGTGATGTTTGCCTCCATCCCAGGATTCGCGGACTTTTACTCGCAGACCGAGATGAACAACCAGGGAGTGGAATGCCTGCGCTTGCTGAATGAGATCATCGCTGACTTCGATGAGGTGAATCTCAGCCTCTAAAGTTGACAATTACAAATGGGCATCAATTGTAATTTTACAAAAGGTTATCACATCTTTATGTTATTATTTATTGTAGGAACAACCTTTGCATTTACAGAAATTCAGGCTGCATTGTAAATACAGAAATGTATCATTTGACTTAATTATCACAATCACAATCATCACCTGAGCTAATTGATACTTTGATAAATGTATACATTGTAGAATGATTAAATCAAGTTAATTAGCATATTCATCACCTCACATTCTTACCATTTTTGTGGTGAAAACACTTAAGCTCTAGCCTCTTAGAAATTTTCAAGTAGACAATACATTATTAGAAACTTTAGTTGCCATGGTATGCAGTAGATCTCCAGAACTTATTCAACCTATCTGACTGACATTTTATACCCTACAATAAATATCTCCCTATTCCTACCCCACCCCTGAGCTTTGGTATCCACCAGTTTACCCTCTGCATCTGAGTTTGACATTTTTAGACTTCCACAGAAGTGAGACCATGAAGCATTTGTCTTTCTGTACATGGTGCATTTCCCTTAGCTCAGGGTTGTCTGGGTCTATTCATGTTCTCACAAATGATGGGATTTCCTTCCTTCTGTAGCTGAATATATTGCATGCACATATATTTATAACATATCTTTAGCCATTCTTCCATCATTGGCCATGTAGGCTGATCCCATTCCTGCTGTTGTGCATGTGCTGTGATGAACATGGATGTACAGACAGCTTGCTGGCCTTCTTTCCAGTGCTCACATCTGCCTATCTCTCACCATCAGCACCACCTTTGCCTTGCTTTGGGCCACATCATTTCTCACCAGGATGATTAGAGTCCTCTCGTGACTGCCCTCCCTGCCTGCGTCTCACCATCTGTGGCCACCAAAGGCAGGAGACTTTCATCACATCCCTCTGAAACCTAACGCCCTCAGCAGCTCCATTAGGCTGGCTCCTTGGCAGGTTTACTCAGGCCTTGCACTTACAGTCCCTATTCCCTCCCCAGACTCACCTCTCACCACCTTCCACCTGCCCCTGCTCACCTGGCTATTTCTCACACTGATCTCTGCCTAAAAGTTATGCCATCTTTACCCCAACCCATCCTCTCTTCCTTGACTCCATGGCCAGCTGAAAACCTAACACTCACTTAACCATCCATTCAAACTTCACTTCTGTTTTTCTAACCCCCTTCTTTATCCAGGTAAATTTTGTCAATCCCTTTTAGATAAAAAAAAAACTTATACCCTGTAAAAATTTTTTATCATAGAGACTGAAACTCTTCGACACAATCTTGTTTATAGAGCAGTTTCCTCCACTAGACACTGAGTTCTAGGGCAGAAAATCATCTTATAATCTCTATAGGTTTTTACAAAATCTTTCCACAAATGTGGAACATTTTCAATATACATCACTTAATTTATTTATCCCTCACACCAAATCCGTGGAATAGGAATCATAAGTTTTCATTTTATAAATAAACAAAGCCGAGATTGAGAAACACCAAGAGTGTCAGGGTCACATGCCACTAAGTAACAAAGCCAAGATTTGAATCCAGGCCCACTATCATTGTTTTAGTTTTTAATCATTATGATGCATGGTTTCTCACTTACCTGGCATGTCATGGTGATGGTTTTTCAGTCGTAAGACTAACTATGACGACTTTAGTTGAGCTGGGGATGAGTGTGTGGATGAAAGTAGTAAGACACATAACTGGACCACCCAGTGGGGAGCAGGTCTCTAAGTCACTTTCACACCAGGAGTCACAGGTCAATGTACCAGTACAGAGCGCCTTGCAAGGTGGGAAGGGAGGAAGATTCCACTAAGACAGCATCTTTAACTGCCATCCTCCAGGCTGGGCCACAAGCTCATGAAGACAGAAACCATACTCTAGTGTCCTTTAAGCACCCAGGTCCTAGCACTCGCCCAGCACATAAAAGATGCTGTGTTGGACTGGGATATAGCTTAATGGTAAAGCACTTGTCTAGCATGTGCAAAGCCCTGGGTTCAATCCTTAGCATCACAAAAGGGAGAGAGAGAGAGAGGCTGTCTTAATTCCTTTTCTGTTGCTATACCAGGATACCTGAGACTAGATAATTTATAAAGGAAAGAAGTTTAATTAGCTTATTTAGTTCTGGAGGCTGGAAGTCCAACATCAGGCAACCACATCTTTTGAGGGTCTTGTGCTCTCTCATGATATGCAGGAAAGTAAAAGGACAAGCAGGTTTGTGCAGAAGAACATGATGGCAGTCTTGCCTTATTACAACCCACTCTCATGGTAACTGATCTAGCCTCACAAGAATGACAATAATCCATATTAATAACTAATCACCCCTTTTAGGCCCTGCCACCTTTCAGTGTAATACATTGGGACCAAATTTCAATATGAGTTTTGGAGGAGACAAAACACACTGAAACCACAGCAGATTCACATAACAGATGCTTGCTAAGTGATTGCTAAATGTGGGATCAAAATCTAGATAGAAAATAAAAAAGCAAAGACAGGCTACTAGAATCCAAGACACACTTTCAAGTAAAAAATTTAAAATAGCTCTATTAAAAATAATCTGACTAAAGGTTGAGACATCAGGTTTTGTTGTATTTTAAACTCTATTGCAATGCACTTCCAAAAAATTTCACAGGCTTATTTTTAAACTGTAATAAATTTGGACTAAATTTGCATCTCACTACACCAAATTTTGGACACCCTGAAGTCTTCCAAAAGCAGAGGAGGGCAGTGCCCCTAAACAGGAGATATGGATCTTTGCAGAGGAAAGGTGGAAACAAGGGAGTTGGTCCAGGAGGCTGTCTACTATAGAACATGGACTTTAAGCCGGGAGGAAGAAGATGAATAAGAGGAAGAGGAGGAGCCAAAGCTACGAGGCAGAGATGAGAAGAAAGAGAAAGATCAAAGGAAGAGTAAGAAGGGGGAAAGAATGTAGTCAATAGGAAATCTCAAGACATCCCCTGATTTGTCAACCTCAAGTACTGTCATCTTTCCCTGAGGGGGCCTTGGGTAATACAGACATGTTTTCCTTCTTTGGCTGAGCACTGTAGATCCATTCTAAATGAGCTCACTTTAATAATGATGCTTTTCTTCTTGCTGATGTAATTATCACAGGAACCTGAGATCCTGCAAATTCTTTCATGACACAGAGGAAAGCTGAACATTGCCCAGGGCACACTCAGCAAAACTCTATGCAATAGCCCAAGGCAGGGCCACCTTACCCCACAGCTCCTTCCTCTAGGAAGGACTAAAAACAACATCCTCTTCCCATTCAGTTCTCCATTTGCACAGTGAAAGAGGATGGTTAGTGACCACTGTATGCCCCCAGGCATGTTTCAATATAGAGAGGTAAAACAGGTAAATTTGTTATGCGGATATTAAGTGAAATAATGAAGCCTCTTGCTGCCTCTAAACTGACTTCTGAGGAGGGGGCAGCTTTGCTGGGGCTGACTCTTCTGTCAGTGGGATAGTACTGACCACCATTCTGGGAGAGAGGAAACAAGGGCAGGAGCAGGGTCAGCTGAAAACTGACAGTGGTTTAGGCCAGAGTGCTGGCAGGAAAGTGCAGAAGTGGGAATATTCTAAGAGCACAATGAAAAAAGTCAAAAAGACTTGGTGGATTTGAGAATATTTGTGATTTCTCCCTCAAGCTAATCAAAAAGCCTTGTTTATTTCAAAGATTCACAGAAACAAATCTGCTTCTTCAGGATTACCTGGTCACAACCCTCTGGTCTGCTAGCACATAGCAGGTTTGCAGTAAACATGTTGACTGGTTGACTGTGTGACCATCACAGGCAAAAGCAGCCACATCAAGGATGCTTGGTCATTAGGGTTAGATCTTTCTTCATGGTGAGCCTGGGGCCCATCTTCAGGAGCCCTGGCCCCCTGCAAGAAATAAACTCCAGGACTAACAGCTGAATCTGTTTTAGCTGCTCGGCGAAGACCGGTTTCAAGACATTGAGAAGATCAAGACCATTGGCAGTACCTATATGGCTGTGTCAGGCCTGTCACCAGAAAAACAGGTAAAGCACTTTTTGGATTCCGCCATACCTATGTAGGAGCCTTGCTGTTACCATATCACTGAAGATGGTGAACAACAAGCATTCGTTCAATCTCCATCACCAGGAGGATTGGGCACTATGGGAGGAGAGTACCCGAACTGGGTTGTAACAGTCGTGGGATATATGGTTACTCCTGAGGTAAGAGGTGAGCTGGGTGAAATGATTGTCCTTCTTTATGACCTCACTGTTTTCTTTGGGCCAGAAAATACCTTGATTATGAGTCAGATGGGGTGTTACTAAACCCCTAATGCTAGACTGCTTTCTTAAGTTTGTTTTCATTTTCACCTTCAAAAGTTATTATGTAATAATAAAATAGTATTAATATCAATAATAAAAGCTCCTGCTTTGTGAATTGTTTGACTGTGTGCTAGGCACTGGTGTTGGATGGAGACCCAAGATCTATCTTCCAGGGTTAATGGATAGGTTATTTGAGATGTCTCCTGCTTCCTGTACAACGCCTTGCACCCACCCAGTCCTTAGCAATTGTTAATATGAGTCAAGGTTACTGCAGGAGATGGGACCCTCCTTAAATCTTTCTTGTCCTTCCTGCACATTCTTTCTACCCAGAAACCTAAAAATACTCCAAGAACAACTATCTGAGAAGAAAATCATGCTGGTATATGTGTGTGGCCCTCAAGAGAAGGGTCAGAAAACTAATACCCACAGACCAAATCTACTGATTTTTTTAAATAAAGTTTTATTGGAACACAGCCATGTCCTTTCATTTGCATTTTATCTTTTGCTCTTTTCAAGACAAGATGACAGTGTTGAATAGTCATGTAGTTTGTTGAGTAGTTTGTACACCATATAATCTATATGATCTACAAAACCTAAAGTATTTGCTCTCTGAACTTTTACTGGAACTATTTCCCAACCTCCCTTCCACATTAGCACAAAGGTCTCTCACATAACAATCTCATTCAGTCTCAGAGAGGTGGACAGGGCCAGCATGTCCCTGTTTTGTAGATTTGGAAACTGAGGTTCAGAGAGGCGCTGAAGCCGTTCTGCACTTCCCTTGGAAGTTCCAAGGGAACTTAGATATCTATGTGAAATATTCCTGAAACAGATACTGTTAGTATTTCAAAGGAAACAGACATGGTTCCTTGACTGGAAAAGCCATACATACAAGCACAGGAGTGTGAACACACACATGCATGCACACACACACCAGTGAACACAGGAATTCCATGATGTGTAGGTATGGAAGAAGGGCCCACACACACACAGACTACCCTGGTAAGTGAATCTTCTGTGACCCCCATGCTTCTGGCATATGATAGCTTGCTTCTGTAGAGGCTTACATACATGAGTGTTTTCCTTCAAAAGAGATGTACGGGTGTGGATAGGACAGAAAGCCCTGGCTGTAAGCTTGCTAATGTTGGTTTCATGGAATGAATCCTTCTCTCATATTTGCTCCAGCAATGTGAAGACAAGTGGGAACATTTGTGTGCTCTGGCAGACTTCTCTCTTGCCCTGACGGAAAGCATACAGGAGATCAACAAGCATTCGTTCAACAATTTTGAACTCCGGATCGGTAAGTAATGGCTGGAAATGGAGCCCCACAGAGCTGACTGCATTTGCTCCAGCAACCCCTCCCGTATCCTGGGCATCGATCCAGGGAAGCTTTTTCCTGCAAGTGTGACCTTGACAAGGACAGTCACAGAATCAGCTCAGGCCTTCCTGAGCTTCCACTCACTCAAGACACTGGAAGAAAGGAGAGGATCCTGGCCTACATGCAAAAATACAAAGCAAACACTAGACCATGGTTAACCTCTCCTTCAACATACTGATCTAGTAGCCTGCCCACACACACAAGGTCCTACTTAGAGAGGTCACTGACAACCTAAGAACCATTTACCTCTGACTTCTGTGTTGCTCAGTGTTGGAAGTCAGTGTATTACTCTCAATGCAATGCCTTCAGGCAAAAACATGTTCTAATCCCAAGGATATCAGATACCTTCTCCAGTCAGGGACAGGCAGAGAACCTTAAAGAACATTGCTCAGTCACATGGTTCATCCTTCGTAGGCTTAGGAACATCCTGTGCAAAGTAGCAACACAGCAATCATAACAACTGAACAATATTCTTTATGATTTGCATAATTTTCCAATTCTATCTGCACCTCTGCTGAGCCTTGGAAAGCCTAGTCTGAAAGCCCCTGCTCCAGTCCACATTTGCATTTTGTAGATGAGTAAACTGACTCCCAGAAAAGAGAGGAAACTAGCCTGCCATCACGCAGCTAAACAAGCATGCCAGCAGCAGCTCCAGGCTTCCCAACTGCAATGAGTGACGCTCTGGCTGCCAAGGGGCAATTTAAAACAACTTTTGCTGCTGTCCCCGTTATTGAAATCCTCTGCTGACATGCCATTTTACTTCATTTGGCCCTCCCTTAGCAGCTCCCAAGAAAGATAAAGGGTCAAGAAAAACTAATAGCTGACTTGTCAGATCTGAGGAATGCCACATGCCTTTGTTCTTTGGAAAAAAAGAAATTATATTTTATGGGCTTGATCTATGCGTTGTTGAGGGTTTGTTCCTACATCTTCCATCAACCTTGCATGTCCTTTTGAAATAATTGACTGCACAAATGAGCCAATAATTAAAAAAAAGAACTTTAGACCTAAACAGAAAGATGTTCTAAGTAAATTCCAAAGGTACTGTTCTGATCAGGGCCAATCTTTGACTGGATATATTCAGTTGCTGGTATTGTTTCATTGATCTCACAAGTTAGGAAATGTATGGATCACACATCTTAATTTGTGTTTCATGTCTACTGTAACCAGCTCTGAGCCTCAGTTTCCCCATGTGTAAGCTTATGAGATTCAAATGGGACAGTGACTCTCAAAGTGTTCTGCAAATTTTAAAGAGCTAACCATCATTATGATTCCCATGCATGTTCCACAGCCTGCCTCTCTCTCTCTCTCTCACTCTGTGTGTGTGTGTGTGTGTGTGTGTGTGTATGTGTGCATGTGCCTTGCTCTTGTCTCTGCCTAGAATGATCTTACCCAGATAGCTTCACGGTTAATCCTATTACTTTCCTCAACTCTCTCCTCAAGAAATCTTTCTTAACTGCCCTACTCCAAAATGCAACCTCATCCATATTTCCCTATCCATATATGCTGGACTGATTTTGCTTTTATTATTTGATCATATCATATGACCTATTTTATAAGGAAGGCTCCGTGAGGCCCAGGCCTACATCTCTTTGCTTTCCTGTTGTCTCCCACATAGCAGGTGAGTCAATGCTTATACAAGAGACACACAAGCCCACTAACACGTTTAGTGAAATGCTACCATTTCCAGAAGGGACTGTTTTTATAAGCCTTTACCAAATACACTATGGTATTGAGGGGAGTAAGAGTCTGAGCAGAAAGAGTCTTGGCTAAAGTCCAAGGTGGATGTGGCTGGCCGGTAAGGGCAACGAACAGTGCAGTGTGGCACTGTGCAGAGCAAGGGAGAGGGTGGGATGATGATGCTGGCAAGACAGGGAAAAGCCAATTGGAGAAGCCCTGGTTTGTGAGCCCAGGGGAAATTGACTTTATCCTAAGGGGCAAAGGAACCCTGATTGGTTGTAACTGGATGATATGGGACAGTCAGAAAGACCCCTCCCCTCCTCTAGCAATGAGGATCACAAGCTGCAAACAGGAGGACAGAAAGAGGCCCATTAGCATTCCATCTCTATAGAGAAGAAGCAAGAGATCCCGGGCTCTGACTCCTGGTCAATGCCTCAGTCATCCCATGGGCCAAGATAAATTGGTGTGAATATGCAAAAGATTCTATCTTGTTGAACACTCTCTGGTTAGCAGACACTTTGCCAATAGCTGTATTATCTCACAGACTCTTCCCTCTATTTTTCCACTTTATGGATGGAAAAGTGAAGCCCAAATAGCTTAAGTAACTGACCCATGTCACACATCTAATTAGTGACCAAGGCAGAATCTGGACATTGCAAGTCATCCACAGATCTCACACACAAGGTGATCACTACCCTAGGTAGATCCAAATGCCTAGCTGCCCCTCTTCTCTCCCTTATCTCTTTATTTTTTATTTTTTCTTTATTCATTTATTCATATGTGCATACATTGTTTGAGTCATTTCTCCTCCCACTCCCTGCTCCCTCCCTCTCCCTTCTCGCTTCCAGGCAGAACCTGTTCTGCCCTTTTCCCCAATTTTGTTGAAGAGAAGATATAAGCAATAATAAGAAAGACAAAGCATTTTTGCTAGATAAGCATAGCTATACAGAGAGATTCCTAGCATTGCTTCCATGCACAAGTGTATTACATCCCAAATTGATTCATCTTTACCAGACCTCTTTACTACTTCTCAGTCACCTTCCCATAATGACCTCTGTAGTTTGATGAAATCTTATCATTCACAAGTAAATGGATGGAACTGGAGAACATCATCTTAAGTGAAGTTAGCCAGGTTCAGGAGGCCAAAAATCACATGTTCTCCCTCATATGCAGACTTTAGATCTAAAACAAATGCAGTAATATTATTAGACTTGGGTCTCCCTTATCTCTTGCTCCTTTGGTTCACTCACAGGTATCAGTCATGGCTCAGTAGTAGCTGGAGTGATTGGCGCTAAGAAACCACAGTATGATATTTGGGGCAAAACTGTGAACCTGGCCAGCCGAATGGACAGCACAGGGGTGAGTGGCCGAATCCAAGTCCCGGAGGAGACCTATCTGATCCTGAAGGACCAGGGCTTTGCCTTTGACTACCGAGGAGAGGTCTATGTGAAGGGCATCAGTGAGCAGGAAGGAAAAATCAAAACGTACTTTCTCCTAGGAAGAGTCCAACCCAACCCATTCATCTTGCCCCCACGAAGACTGCCCGGGCAGTATTCCCTGGCTGCAGTAGTCCTGGGACTTGTCCAGTCCCTCAACAGACAAAGGCAGAAGCAGCTACTCAATGAGAACAGCAACACAGGCATCATCAAGGGCCATTACAACCGGCGGACTTTGTTGACACCCACTGGGCCAGAGCCTGGAGCCCAAGCTGAAGGCACCGACAAATCCGATTTGCCATAAAAGCATTTTCTTTGTGTTTCTTTTTTTTTGTATTTCTTTTATATATAAAACAAATATACTAATAAAAAGGTTTAATTTTTTTTAGAACAAGGATGGTTTCATTGGTCTTTGAATGTAACAGATTTAAGGACACAATTTTAGATCCTTTTCAATCACAAATGCTTACTTATCACCTCTTATATACAAGATCTGTTGGGAATCAAAGATAATTATGACCTACTTTCTGACTTTGAGAAATTCACAATTAAATGAGAAAAAGGGACAAGTAAACAGAGACTCAATACAATCAGATATTCAACAACTACCATTTTTGAGCATTTCCCATATGACAGACCAAGGACCACATTCTTTACAAATGACCTCATACAATCCTCTCAATATGTGTATTTATTCAACCAGTATTTTTTGAGCACCTGCAATGTGTCTCTGTTGTCCTATGCTTGAGAGAAATCCTGTAGAGATAACATTACGGTTTGGGAACAATAGATAATACTGCTATAAAGCAATGCATAAATAATCTACCTTCAGACAGGAGCAACTGCAATGAAGAAACTTACGTACAACTGGTGGGCTAAAGATTGGAGGGCAAGGATTTAACTGGAGTCACCAAGGAAAACTTTCTGAGGATGTGATTGATGCTCAGGGTTAGTGCTAAATAAGAAATCCTTAGGACCTGGGATAAAAGTGATTCAAACAAAAGAAAAAAGACCTGCAAAAGCCCTAGAGTGAGTTCAAGCCTAGCAAACTAGAGGAACAATTAGAAAGTCAGTGAGTAGGTGAGCCATTATAGGCAGGTCATGGTTTTCTGGGAAGACTGCCTCATACTCCCTTCTCCCTTGACCACAAAGCTGCAAGAAGTGTCATAGACATGAAAATAATCAAAACAATTCAAGGAATTGAAAGATCACCTAGTTGTAAAGTCAGTTTCAGAACTATATGGGTCAATAAAAGCTAGCCACCAAGCTTATGGACTAAAACGCAATAAAAGATTGATTTCTTGTTTGTGTCCTATTGGGTGTGTGGCAGAGGGCTTTTCATGCAATGGTTTTTAGAATGCAACCTGAGGCATTGGAGTTCTCTACTTGGTCCTCTGTATCCAACCAGCTGAAGAGACAAAAAGGAAGGGAAAGCTAATTACTCAGAAGTTCTCAGGCACCAGGACTGGGAGTGGCCAGTGTGATCGTTCAGTCCCACCTCACTGAGAGGAAAGATGGGGAATGGGTTCTTCCTGTGCTTCCTTAGTAAAGGACAAATGAAATGTAAGGGATAATAGTATCACTCCTGACCCAAGAACACACACCTGTCTAACACCAAAGTCCAAGTTTATAAACACCAAACTCTTCAGGTAAGAGTTGTGCTGGAAGCTTTAAGTAATGGAAGGAGAAGTTTGGAGACTCAGTCATCCTCGAAATTTAAAAAGAACAAGCTCCAAGTAATTAATCCACAATGGATATGCTCTCAGTGCAGTACTTATCTGAAGTATCTCAGGTGAGACCCTTGACCTGACCTGGTAGGAGTGAAACCATCTTCTCTAGAGAGACACAAAGCACTGAAAAGGAATGAAGGTCCTGGTCGACACTGAGCCATGGTTGGAATGCCTTATGCTCATGACAACCACGTACACATCAAAGAAACATGTGGACCCCATGAGGTATAAAGAGGATGTCATTCAGAAAGCCATTTTATTAATCAGGTTTTCATTGCTGTGACAAAATACCAGAGGAAAATAATGTAAAGGAGGAAATATTTATTTTGAGTCACAGTTTCAGAGATTTCAATCAATGCTGTCTGTCTCCATTGTTTCTGAGCCTGCAGGTAGTAAGGCAGTAAGTACATTGTGGTGGTAGGGTGTCTGGAAACAAAGCTGCTCACCTCTAGTTGGCCAAGAAGCAGAGAGACATAAAGGACAAGCTACACCCCTCAAAGGCATGCCCCAAAAACTACTTCCTCCAATCAGGTCTCATCTTCTATAATTTTCATCACCTCCTAATAGTCTACTCTAAATCCATCAATGAATTAACCTGTTGATTAGGTCAGAGACCTCATGATCCAATCACTTCATAAAATCCCCAACTCTATACATTGGTTTGGGGATCAAGCCCTCAACACATGAGCCTCATTTGGGGGGCTACTTCATATTCAAACTATAACACATTAGTAAACTATAAAGCCCTCTAACATGGGATTAAATGCTATTTTAATCCCATGTTAGGCATTCTGAAAATCTCAAAGTCATTCAGCACAACCTGATGAGGACATTTAAACAAGATAAATCTCAATGTGTGTTAAGACTTGAACATACTGGATCCTGGAAGTAGAGAGCTGACACAAGTAGGTTGGAAGCTCAGCAAACACCCTAGTAAAGAGGCTAGCCTTGGTAAAAGCGGTCAATCTCCCAACACACGGAATTTAATATAGAAAATTTGATATAGATCATCAAGCTTTAATCTAGTCCAGAGAATAGAAATCCATCTAAAAGTCCATGAACAGTGTTGAGCAGAGGGTCCAACAAGCAGATCAGCCACAATGAGCTGCATCCAACCCCAGGGAGGGAGGTTGCCAAGGACAGGCTTTGCTCCTAACTCAGGACAAAGTTCCTGGATTAGAAGTAGAATGTGGTTCTCAGCAAGATAACTACCTACCAAAGTAGGAAGCATTTAGCCTATGGATACTGCCAATTTGGGGTTGATGGTGAAGCTGCCACTGGGACACTTTTCCCCAAGCCTGCTCCTGGCTCAGTAATGTGGAGCCTTGAGATATAGCAGATGGAGAGATAGTTGCCCCCTCCAGGAGGTGTGGCTTCATTCATGGCCCAATCAAACAGAGGCACAAGGGGGAAAGACGTTATGAAGAGTCTCCATCAGATTGACAAGAATCCCACCAAGTGAGCACCTAGCATGAGTGCCAATTTACACAGTCCTAAAGCACTGAGTCCCTACTCTCTAGATAGGCCTGTGCATCAGCACCCACAGGTATGCAGGCTTTCCATACTGAGGGTTAAAAGCAGAGACAGAACCAGCACCTGACCTGTGGTTGAAAACCTAAGGATCAAGCCTCTTCTTGAGCCTCATATATGGTCTAGAGGAGGTATTGAGATACAACTAAAAATGCAGTAGAGGGACTGATTTAGTCTAAGAATGTTCAAACCTGACAAGAAAAGCTTTCTTAACAGCTCTGCATTCTTAATCTTCTGGGGTTTAATGCAGGTGCCTTACTTCCTCTGCCACTTATCAGCCTGTGTAGGAAATGCAGTGTCCCAAAAAATAAACACAGCCCTGCTAGAGAACAGGCAGGCTGCCTACAGCATGTGCAAGGACTATGATTGATGATCTACTGCTTCAAAATCCACAATTCCATAAAGTCAGAAGGACCAACTCAAGCTTGGAATGACCCACCCTTCCTTTCTTTAGGAATCATGAGAGTGCAGTCACTTCCCTTTGGGACTAAGTAGAATTTTGTCATCTCCACTTTATACATGAGGAATATGGAGCACTTGAACTGCTCACTCAAGTTCTCACAACTGGAAAATAGTGGCACTGGGAATCAGAGCCAGAGGGTCAGGCTCAAGAGCCCAGCCCTAAACATAACTGCCCTGGGGTGGCATGATTCACTAAGTGAACTGATGTCTTAGCAGATTCTCAACCACAGGTTCTTCAACTGGGAAGAAACTACAAAGCTGGGGAAAATCACCCAAAAGCCACTTACTGGTCCCAAACAGCTTAATCCTCCTCCTCCGTGGAGTCAAATAACCATTACCATTTTTCCTTTATGTAGTTCTATGTCAGAAAGATCAGAGAGTGCTGTGCTGAGAGGTAAGAGGCCTCTTGGTTTGAATTCTGTCTCCATCACTTCCCAGTTTGGTGTTGGGCAAGTAGCATGAACTCTGCTGCTATTTAGAATTCTAAAGCTTTCAGACTTGGGAAACACAATAAACACACCACATATTAGGTAACAGTCCAGAACCCTGAGGCAGTGCTCAGTAATTAAAACCATGGTACCACATGCCTATAATCCTAGTACTTGGGTTCAAGTTCAAGGTGAGCCTGGGCAACAGAGTGGGACCTTATCTCAAAAAAAAACTAAAAAAAGATTGTAATCAAACATAAATATTCATATACTAAATGGCACCATAAAAGTAGACTCACTTCTGTTCCAGTCATGCTTTGGCCCCAAATTAGTTATAAAAGACACTTTACCTTTTAAGGGTTCTTCGTGTTTGGGCAATCAATCCTGGGGACTGAACTCAGAGTCTCATGCTTGCCAGGCAAGCACTCTACCACTTGAGTGGGTTTCGGACTTGTAGATACAAACCTGTCACCCCTCAGCACCTCATAAGGCTGCCATAACCAGAACAAGCCACCATGTGTTTAATGCACTTTGCAGCCTGAGTCCACACTGCCCTCTACTGCAGCTTGCTGTTTATTGTTGTGGTGGTGCAAGACACAAGGTGTTTATTGAAACAGTACACATGCACAATTTTTCTTTCATTAAGCCTTTTGTTACTTGTCCATCTTTGCTTTAATAATTAAAAATAATAATCAAGCAAAAAAAAGTGTGACTTTTTCATATGACCCTTGGTCACTCAAATCCTGAGTCCATGATCTGGGTCAATCCCAGGATGGAGTGGACACCTTTCAGAGGAGCCTAGCCTACTGGACACCCTGCATGTATGGAGCTCTCCAATGAATGGTGGAAAACAATTTCCCCAGAACCACAATTACCTCTGCTGACCCACATTTCAGAGCCATCACTTGTCCTTCTGGGTATAGTAAGAGAAGGGTGCTGAAGCTCATTTCCTACCCTGACATTTTTATTCCAAACCACAGGCTTTTCTGACACTCTGGTACCAGTGTCAACCAGCATTTCCAAGTGAGAATGTTGCTCTCAGATTAGCATGGGCTCCAAACCACTGAACCCAATATTTTATTGATGAGTTACCAGGGCAGGGTGCCCTGAAGAATAACAGTGAGCCTATTTGAATTATTAACTTCATATCAGCC